AGAAAAGACATATGAGAGAGTACATCGAGAAGTCCGTTGATGGGCTTTAACTAAGAAAAGCAATTCATGTAAGTACATCACCATCAACATGGATATGTATGAAGATTGTACTACACGTGTTCATACTAGTGTAAATAGGACGGCAGAACTCCCTATTACAATCAAACAAGGGAGAAGAGGGAGAGGAAGACTCAAATAAACATGAATTAAAGAAATCAGAAGTGATATGCTTATTCTTGGGTTGAATAAGAGTATGACATTGGAGAAAGCAAAGTGGAGGGCGGGTATTTGTGTGGCAGATTGATCTTTTATCATCTTTTTTCCATCTATTTTCTTTATCTTTTTATGTTTTTTATCATTTAACGTTTTTTATTTTATATACTCTCTTCGTCCCATTTGGTAAGATAAACTTTCTTTTTTGGGTTGTCTTAAGAATATGATTACTTTACTAAATTGGACTCCACCAATTTTTTACTTTCCCACTTTATTCCTTTATCATCATTTCACCATTTTCTTTTTGTGGACCTATCTTACTCTTTCTAGTTTTTTGGAGGTTAGAATTGTAAAACAAGCCACTTCATTCTTTATTTTATTAAAACCCGCACAAACCCAAATGTAACTTACATTATGGGACAACGGTAGTATATAAGAGTAATCTTCTTGACTGAAACCGCCGTCCGGCCACCTCATTTTGAGGTGGTTTCCGATGATATTTTTGCTGAAATTTTGTGTGCATGTTGCCCATGAAGTGTAGATTATGTCCACCCCATTTCAACAAAAAATTTAATCGGGAAGACAACCAAATAATTTTTTGAAGATAATTGCACCAAAATATACATATAAAACGCAGTTATTTTCTAGTAATTTATTTGACTGCCTTCCCGATTGAATTTTTTGCTGAAATTTGGCAGACATGATTTACATTTCATAAAGAACATGTTAAAAAACTTCATCAAAATATTCCACCGGGAACCACCTAAAGGCAACGGCCGGACTGAGGTTATGGTCCGGATTTCTGGACCTGAACTTTTCTCATTTTTATGTATATCTTATTATTTTTATGTATACCTTATCTCTATTTTATCTTCTCTTTTTAATCATACCTTATTTCCATCATTTCCAATGCAGCGAAAGACTCATTCTTTTGGCTTGAGAATATGATGGAATAAAGCAAAATGACACACCAAACTGTTTGCACTTCTTTGTTATGAAACAACAGTCAGTCCATGCAATTTTCGACGCGATTTTCATCAAGGGTCATCCAAAAATAATCTCTTTGTGCTTTAGTACAAGGTAGTGTTGTTGTTTTTATTTTTGACTCGGATATAATGTATCGATTCATATTAGTCAACCCCAATTTTTTTTAGAACTAATGCTTCGATGTTGTTGTTATTGTTGTAACAAGACTCCATCTTCTAAAATCTTGCTCAAAGATGAGAAACACATCACATCTAACCTTTTGAAGTAAATAAACCCAAATAGAAAATTGTTCTTTAAAAAAATTTAGAAGATTTTCTTGCATACCCAAGAGTAGATATTGAGATGTGCCAACAACATGATGCATCTATTAACAACACACAATGCTAGGAAAACATTTCTACAACCGAAAGGATGATGTAAGCTGTGGTAGAATATAAGAATACTACATTGCCATACAATGAAAGAATAAGCAAATGAAGTTTATCGTGTTTGCTCCCCACTTTCTATTTTTGCTTAATACATAATAAGGAAATACTCAAATACATAATTATCCTTACTCTTTTATTCTCTAATGAACTATTTAGCTGCTCTTTCCTACTTTCTACACTTTCTCTATAATACTCACTAGTTACTACGCCAGCAATTTTGGTCCTCGATTCTGTGAAAAGCCTTTGATGGGGAGCTCAAATAAAAATAATACCACGTACGTATCAATTTAAAACCTGAATGAGTGAAACAATCTTAGGCCCATAAGTTTTTTAGGCCCATAAGAAAGCATGAATTTTGAAACTTTTATTTTCAATTACTCTAGCGTTCAAAAAAATTCTTCACAGATAATATAATGGTTTTAATAAAAAATTCATTAAGAATACTAAATTTTGAAATAGGGATATTCAAGCAAATAAAATCAGAGGGATTTAAAGGAAAACAATGAGGAACAATGAGACGAAGAAGTCTGTGTTACTCTAAAGATATACCTTTATGACAGAGTTATCAATGGCGAGTATTGTGCTCATCATATTTCTCGATTGGCGTTTGAAGGCCCCTTCAATGGCAACGGAGACCAACATACATGTGATGGCGCCGCTTTTATGCCACCGCCATGCCATATTCGCCATATCTAAGCCTGAGAATATCAAACGCGATAACCAGAAATGGAGATTATGAGGTCAGAGGTCAGAAGGGCAAGTGTAGCGATTTCTTTGATTTGCAAAAAGGAAATGGATTAAGGATGTTTCTTAAGGATGTCATCCTAAGTTTATTTGATTTGTTAATTTTCTAATTCCATGTTATTGTAAAACTTCATCTTGCTGTCAAATTCGTCTATTCTATAAGAGAAATTTCATCCAACTTCTTTTAATTCCATTCAATAAACTAATAAAGCTATCGGTTCACTTAATTTTTAAAATGCACTTTATTGTCAATGTCTTACACTCCAATCCAAACCGAACTAAGTTATGTTTAAACTTGGCAATCATTTTCTCGACTCATTTTATACCAAGCTACACTGCAGTTTTTAAGGTCAAATATTATACTATCGTACATGCCAAAAATGCAGTTTAAAATGTAGAAGCTTCAATTCAATCCTTAAATCGATGATCTTGACAAAGATAACAATATACTGGCAAACGAATTTAAATGAAAATCACATTGATAACAAAGGTAACAATAAAATAGTCGAATTTGACAGCAAGATGGAGTTTTACAATAACATGAAATTAGAAAATTAACAAATCAAATAAACTTAACAGATAAATAATCAATAGTTAATCGGAAAACTCAAATATTATTGGGAGCCGAAGGGATGTATTGATGAGAAAAACAGGAAAGAGGAGGTTGAAATCTGAAGAGCCAACCAGAAGACAGCTGAGTGCGAGAATAGCTGATTCACCGAGAGGATACTTGAAGACTGCCGGACGGTGAAGGGAACTGCTTCAAGAATAGCTGATTCACTGCAGGACGACGAAGGGAACTGCCCGCTGCTGATCGAGCAAATTTCAAACGAACATTTTTTTCTTGCAAGTGTTAGGATTAGGGTCCGCTTCTTGCAAGCGTTGTATCACTTAAAGAAACTAATAATCCAACCTTTTAGCGGTCTTCTTTTAATAGTGTGACCTTTTCGTTAATCATGAATAATCCAACCTTTGCACCCCATCTTCATTCACTGGTCCCCGACCAGTTGATGACCTGTTATTCCAAGTTATTTTCTTATCTTTGTAAAATATTATCTTTGTGAAATTTATGGTATAATAGTTTGCAGAGATAAGAAAATCACTCGGAATAGCAGGTCATCAACTGGTCGGGGACCAGTGAATGAAGATGGGGTGCAAAGGTTGGATTATTCATGAATAACGAAAAGGTCACACTATTAAAAGAAGACCGCTAAAAGGTTGGATTATTAATTTCCATTTTCCCTTAATTAAGTGATGCTTTCAACTTTTTTAGTTTTCGAATTTATCATCATTACCTATCTACCCGCTACCCCTACCTTATCCACCTTATCCCAACCCAACCTCGACCCCCGACTCCACCCCTACCCTATCCTACCCTACATCCTGACCATATACCTTTACCCTAACCCGCCCTGGCCTACCCCTTTACCTGTTACCACCTGCCCTACCTCGGCCCCACCCCCTTACCCCGCTCTCTCGTATTCTCTTTTACCTCATACCACCTTCCCCTATCTCGACCCCACCCGACCCCCTACACCACCCCTATCCTCGACCATTACCCATCCCCACCGCAGTCGTACCCTTCCCTTACCCTACCCCATATCACATGCCCCTACCTCGACCCCACCCATTCCCTTCCCTACCCCGACCATACCCCTTACCCCCCTCCCACCCCACCCCAACTTGTACCCCCCTTCCCTTACCCCTTACCCTTCCCCGACCCTACCCCTTTTACTCCCTATCACCTTTCACCACCACGGCCCCATCCCTACCCTGACTATTCCCCTTTCACACACCTCACCCCCACTCGTACCCCTTCCCCTACCTCAACCCCACCCCGACCCTACCCCCAACGCCCACCCCTTACACTGTCCCGACCCTACTTTACCCCATACCACTTGTCCCTACCTCAATCCCACCCGACCCACCCCTACCCTACGAGTAGGGTAGGGGTTAGGGGTATGAGTATGATATGCGGGTTGTAGGGGAGCGTGGGGGTAGAGGGTTATTAGGTCATGGTAAGGGTAGGAGTCAAGGGTGTGGAATGGAATTGGGAGTACGGGGTATATGTATGCATACGAGGTGACCCTCACATATTATATTATATTATATATTTGTGTTCATGAATGTTTGTGTGTGTATATATGTATAAGGTTACTTTGGACATTTTAATGTTAAACGGTGTTTGAAATCTTTTGAAGTAAACATGAGCTTACAACACTGCTTATTTTATGCGCCGCTTATTAAAGCGAGTCTTAATGAGCACCGTTTAGTAAACCGTGTGTTAGGTCCCTCTTGATTTTGATGATGCGTGTATTGTAGACTCAAAACTTGATAACGTACTTTGTATTTCAAATATGCATGCATGAGAAAAGTACAAACAAAAGAAGAAGTACCAAAAACAAAAGAAAAGAAATAAAGGTACAAAAGAGTTGACTGATTTTCACTTTCCACCGGGTCAAAAGAATTCCAGAAAAATTACTCAAAATAAAAGCTAAAGTAAAATCAACAATTTTTACTTTGCAATTTGGCTGAAAAAGGAAGTCACGGGATTCTACTTAACAAGTGGACTACGACCTTGGAAAACTTTTGTAAGTCAACTCATACTCTCTTATTAAACACAAATGTAAGCATGGGCTAAAGAAGAACAAAAAGAGACTCAGGCTACTTAAGAAGCCAAAAAGAGAGCATGCTGAAGATAGAAGGTCAAGTTGAAGCATCAACGTTCAAGATTGAATCTCCTCAATCAACGGGAGATATTCAAATACATCAAGTCTATAAATACTCAAGTAATGTGACGAAGAAGACTCGGCGAGCTTAGTGCAATCAAGACATTTATATCACAATATGCTGCAAAAGATAAAGTATTAATTCGATCATCACTTTATTCTTAGCTCGTTCACATCTCTTTAATACTCCGTATGGTATATATACAATATACGTGAATAAAAAAACTAAAAAGAAACCCTTCTCTAATGTTTTATTGCCAATAAGATCAATTTCACCCTGAAAAGCAAAAGTTATTTTAGTCCTTGCATTGGAGACTGCAAACTACAGGCAGCGTCGTGGCCCCTTTTTTTATTCTCTATCATCACAGCTTCTCTTTTAAAGTTGAAAAGTAAAATTTTTAACAACTTACTTTGCATGTGTTAATGATCACAGGCCACCCCAGGCCAGTAATTATGTTATCCCGATCGAAAGCCACATGAGTGAAGTTATTATTAAATTAACCTCGGTCGGCTTCCAACAAGATTTAGTAAGAAATTGAGGAGAGAGGTAGCTGGGTGTTTCGATCATCCGCCATTTAATTTCTAAGATTTAATTCATCGGGATCGGAATATAATACAGAGCAGAGTGGTTGTCTCTGTGTGGGTTTGTTTGTTTTTGGTGCTGAGGAGAAGAGGTAGCAGACAGCATCAAGTCAATGTGCAGAAGCACGCAGCATAGTTGTTCGGACATGGCGGCATCCCCTGTCTTCGTTACCTCAAACATCTCCCTAACCGTTTCCTTTTTTGTCCTCTTTTTTCTGTCTGTTCCTCGACCGGCATGCTCGACCGCGGCAGACGACGGCGGGGGCTTTCCGGCCACTCACACATTCCGGCCAGGCAACCATTCACGCAAGTTGAAAATGATCAAAGCCCGCCTCATGATGATCAATAAGCCTGCTGTCAAGACAATACAGGCACGTACAGCACTCCCCCCATCTCGATCGATCCATCTCCTGATTCTCCTTACTTAATTACAATAATCTTTATTATTATTATTATTACTGAAATCCAAGCTAAGTGAATCTTATTATTGTTTCTTTATTTTCTGTGTACGTATAAATACATAAAATAAATGCAGAGCCCTGATGGTGATATCATTGACTGCGTATTAACTCACAAACAACCTGCATTTGATCATCCACTGCTGAGGGGTCAGAAACCACTGGTAATTTAATTAGTTGTTCATCACCAAACCAATTTATTATTTGATTGTGCAGCTAGTACGTGGTAATGATAGACAGGATTATTAATTTGTAGGATGATCACCCGGAAATACCGAAAGGGCAAAATGGGGAGGAAGAATTCGAAGAATTTCAGGCGTGGAGGACGACAGGAGAAACGTGTCCAGAAGGAACAGTGCCAATAAGAAGAACGAGGGAAGAAGAGATGCTGAGGGCAAGTTCGGTTAGAAGGTTCGGAAGGAAAGGACCGATTGGGAGCATCCTCCGAACAGACACAACCTCCAACTTTCACGAGGTTACCTATTCCACCGTACTTTCTTTCAAACGTTATATCCATCTCCCATCCAAAAAATTTGACATTAAAAGTACTTTTCTTAGTCAATTATTATGTTTAAATAATGTTTTTTTTATGAAATTGTTTAAAATATGAAAATTATAAGGAAATGTTGCATGTTAAAACTAATTCACAAAATTATACTCACCTATCTTTGAAAATTCTTCTCATTTTCTTTTTTGGGACGTTTCAAAAATTTCTTCTCATTTTTCTATTTGGAAATGTTTGTGTAACTATCTTTCATTTACTTTTTTTCTCACTCAATCACACTCATACGTTTCAACTTTATTCTCACTTTCTTAGACTCCGATCCAAGTCAAACCGAGAAGAATTTTTCGGAACGGAGAGAGTAAAGTATATAAGTTTCACACAAATACTATATTCAAAATCATTGTCAAAAATCCACTAGTATTGATCAAAGAAAAATCAATTTAACCAAGTCTTATAAGACAGAGGGAATACTACGCATTAAAAATGTTGGAAAAACGGGCAAGTAAGCCCATGTACTAACAAAAAAAGGACAAATAAGCCCTTATATATGAGATGTTATCCGGCCGTCTCCTTATTTGAAGACATTCAAATAAATTCTTGAAGATAGCAGCACAGTTAAAAGCACAATTATCTTCAAGAATTAATTTAAATGTCTTCCCGATTGAATTGTTAGTTGAAATTTGGTATGAGAAAACTAGACTTACTGAATACGACGCTAAAAAAAATTCATCAAAAAATTATACCGGGAACCTCCCCAATATAAGGGCTTATTTGACCCTTTTTGTTAGTACGTGGACTTATTTGCACTTTTTCCCAAAAATGTTTGATGTATTACACATAATTAATACAAAATTGTCAATATTTTTTTTGCATTGTCTCAAGCTAGGAATTATCTGTAATATAAGGAAATATTTAGGGAAAACTGTCAAATAGGTCCTCGAACTTTCATAAAAAAGTCAATTAAGTCCTTCTATAGGAGATTCTGTCTGGCCGTCGCGATTTGGGGCGGTTCCTGATGGAATTTTTTGATGAATTTTTTTGAGCATCTTATTCATCAAGTCTAGTTTACTCATACAAAATTTCAGCTAAAAATTTAATCGGGAACACATTCAAATTAATGAAATGAAGATAACTGCGCATTTTTGCGTTGTCGAATTAATTTGAATACGATAACTATTGAATTTTTAGCTGACATTTGGTATGAGTAAACTAGACCTGATAAATAAGATGCTCAAAAAATTTCATCCAAAATTTACACCGGGAACTGCCCCAAATCGCAACGTCCGAACAGAACCTCCTATAGAAGGACTTAATTGACCTTTTTATGAAAATTCGAGAACCTATTTGATAGTTTTCCCAGATGGAGTATGTGCAAATGGTATTTTCTACGTAGCCAGTACTCGTTTAATAGTAACGTAACTGCTACTCCCTCTTTTCTTGATGTGACTAACTTTTTTCTTGAAAGCCTAGCTTTTGCCTCGTTTTAATTTTGTGGTCAACAATTCTCTACTTTATTTTTTTTCTTTTTTGTGCTTTTATTATACTACTTACTCGGTATAAACATGAAAGAAGTCAGCTGTAGAATGCACTACAAAAAAATTATGGGATTGACGCGAATTTAGTACGAATTAATTGATGATACACCTGCAAAAATCCTTTCAATTTTAAAAAATTCATGCCAAAAATAGATGTTAATCCCATGTTTTTTATTTGTAGTGGGATCATTGGGATGCCCTTGGCTATATAGTGAGGGAGTGAGTGCATAGGTAAGGGGGTCAAAAGATAGAGATTTTGACAAAGCGCCACAGATGGTTTCCACTATACGACACTCACTTCACTTTTGTGGTCAATGCGCTTTTTGAGTCGTAAGTCAATAATTTCTTTGGGCAGATAGGATCTTATTACTTACTCCCCCAATCCTAAATTCATGCGCAAAATATTGTTTACGACTTTAAACAAGGAAAAGTTATGTATACCTGATTTTATAAATCAGTATTAACATTTAAAATATGCAATTTGACATCTTAACAAACTAGATCAAAAGTTAATAGACGCACGCAAAAAGTTATTTTGAAAGTGGTTGCTATATAAACACTCCGTATATATAGAGAGAAGACTAAAATTAGCCAATACAATGAAATTGAGTAAATTAACTGATCAAGAAAATAAAAGATCTTGGACCATGAAAGACAAGTGACGTAAATAAAAACGGTTTTTTAAAGAGTAAAACATTGACAATAATTAAAAGGCGTGACTAATTTTTTAAGTTATGATTAATTTTGCTTTATTTACAAAACTTTATTTATCTAGTTCTAATAAGGTAAAATGGGAATATATTCACGTAATTTTAACCTGCCAAAAGTTCCATCCCCGTACAAGATGACAACCCCGATATCCATTTTATCCATTTAAGAAATAAGATACTGTACCTACCATTCATTTTATTAGCCCAAATCATTGTATCATTTTTAATTGAGATTTAATTAATTCAACTGTAACGTTATACGGAGTAATTGTTTCATGTGAACAAAAATGTGGTACCTTAAGTGTTCATATTGTCTAATATGGCATCCTCCGTATGATTATATCGGAGTTAAGAAACTAACAATGGGGTTTAAGCAACCAACAATTTGTTCTCCATAGAGTTATTTCAAAGTTAAGGATGAACTGAAAATAGTGGATATCACAAGAATGAAAACTAAAAGATTGAATGAACTTAAAAAGTGTCATAAATATTGCAAGGATCGGATTAAAACGTATTCAAGCCTATATATATATACACAAATGTCTTGAGTTTGTTTTTTTAAGTCAATTTAATTTTGATCTTGAATAAACACTCCGTAAATTAAACGATGAATTTCTGTTTTATTTTTCGGTTTAAAATAAAATTGTTTTAACTTATAGCTTGACCAATTTTTTTGTTGGGTGGGGGTGGGACAGCATGCAGTTGGATATGTAAATGGAGATCGATATTATGGTGCGAAAGCGAGTATGAATGTGTGGGCTCCTCATGTGGCCAACACGCAAGAGTTTAGTTTGTCGCAGATGTGGATCATCTCCGGTTCATTTGGTGGCGATCTCAACAGCATCGAAGCTGGTTGGCAGGCATGTTTATATTACTCCCTAATTATTATTACTGTGAAGTTAAAACTCCGGCCGGCCGGCCATCTTTCTATTTTTTTCCTTCATTTTTTGTTAGGTTACCCTAATTTATTGTTTCTTACTACTTCCGTCCTCTGATAAAGGTGATTATCTCACGATTTCCAACTTTTAAGCTAAAAAGTAAAAAATAGTAAGAAGTGTCCGGCAAAAACTAAAGAATGAAATGATTAAGGATGTTTTTTGGGATTGTTTTCTGTCTTAGAGCAATATTGAAATAGACTAAATTAGATCGGATCAAACCAGCCCTAAACATATCAGACCAGATAAAACTTAAACAAATCGGACCAAACTTGGACAACTATAAAATACACAGAGACCAAACATTACCAGAATAACTGAGACTTAAACAAACCAGATCAGTTCAGACTTAAACAGATCAGACAAGATCGGACTAGACCAAATTAGCCATTGTCCAAAAAAAAAAAACATCCTAATATAGAAAGTAAAAAATTAGTAGAATTCCATATAAGAAAATGTTCATATTTTCAGGACAATCTAAAACAAGCTACTTTGTTAAATGAAACGGAAGGCTATCAATCCATCTTCTCTCGTCGAAATAAATGATCATCATTTTATAGTTTTATACCTTTTCTTTGGTAACGTGAAGCCACATCAAGCTTCCTATATACTTGAAATTGTACTAAAAAAACAAGCAGTCGGTGAAACTAATTGAATAAAGGTACGTACTCAATTACCCCATACAATGATACAATAAAATAAACGATAATACGAATCGAGAGAGCTAGTATTATGATGTACTCCGTATAATTAAACATTGTAACCCGGCTTGGCCACCTAGAATTACCAAAAATTAGTGCATGTGCTCAATAAAAGGAGCTCGATCATCTAGTCATACGATGATACATTGATACAATGAATAAAAAAGGAAAAGAAGAACTTAAGAAACTAATAAATAAGACATTATTAATTCATAGAAACTTAAAGATGTTTTCAGTTAATTATACTCCGCATTAATTTTTGGTTCAGATTATACCAAACTTGATCTAATTTGAATGGATCAGGCTTGATCAAATATAAAAAAGGGAAATCGCGTATATGGTCCCTCAGTTATCCACGAAATTAAAATTTCAGACCTGTATTTCGTAAATTGTAAATGTCACCCCTCAATTGTCCAAAATGCTGTACATGTGGTCCTTTTGAGGGGTGAAATATATAATGTGGGCGAGAAAATATTTCACTATTGAAATGACCACATTTACAACAATTTGGACAATTGAGAGATGACATTTATAATCTCAGAAATACAGGTCTGAGATTTTAATTTCGTGAATAACTGAGGGACCATATATACGATTAACTAGAATATAAAGACTGATATAGCACAAAAATAAATAGAATCAGGTCATGTTCAAACCAAATGATTGAATGGATACGTAGGTGCATACTGTGGAGGGATTAACCCCCGTATGAGAATCGAAGTTTGGAAAGTTTCGACGGAATATAAACGCTCCCTAATCCCTACATAGCGTTCTATTACAATTCAATTATTTCACCTCAAGCTTTCTTCCGCTCTTCGACCAAACAAGATCACTTCAATTATGCCGGACATAGCCTAAAACATATAAAAAATATCAGACTTAAATAAATCACACAATCAGTTTTAATTAAAAAAAACTAATTCAAGTAAAAACACACTAAAAGTAAAAATAAACTAATAGGCATGACAGAAAAAAGTGAGTTAGAAATAATATGAATAATGTGTGGTGCACAATTAAACATGTTCTAGTCATTTGATGCGTACCTGGATTTTACCCAAAAAATAATACTCCTCATCTCTCTACAATTGCCTCATTTTCACTTTTTGGACCTATTACATTAAGATATATTCATATTAAACTTGATTACATTTGTGTAGTTGTAAATGGTTCTCATTTTATTCACTTTTTCAATTAAACATCAATTATGTAAATCTATTTTTCTTAATAATTACCTCACCACCTATTCTTATACTATGCCCCGTTTTTTTAATCGCAACATGTTGACTTTTTGCACTGTTCACATGATCTACTTTGATTATATTTTACACTATTATTTTATAGAATTTATTTTTTAAAATGTTTTTGAATTCATCTCAATAATACAAAGTTTCAAAATCTGATTTTTTAATATTTTTTTATTAATAGAAATTAAGATATACTTACAGTCAAATGTGTGCATTGGCAAATGTGCAAAAATTGACTGTTTCAACTAAAAAAGAATGGAAGAAGTATTAATGTTAAGGGATGGGATAGTATTTCATTAGTACAACTAGTCTAGAATTGAAGAGCTGCAAAACGATGGCTATCTCATACCAATAGTGTTATACGAAGTAATATTAATTGATCTAATATATGTACTCCATTAAACATAACCCAAATAAGTTAGTACTAATTAAAAATCATAAGAATGGGGTTATATTTTACTTTTCACGATCTTTCGATTCAACTCATACTATAGCCAGGCCTAACAACTAGAAATGACATAGAGCATCATTAATGTACACTTCCCTCCATCTCATTACGTTAGTTTTATTTTCTTTTTTCCATCCGTCCCATTAAATTTATCTATTACGTAGTATCTTATTTGACAATATTTATATGGTAGTATTTAATAATTTATTATTATTATTCTTGAAAATTGCACCAGCCATCTTGTTTTAACCTTAAGGGCATAAAGGGTCTATTATTTAACCGCCCGTAGATGTATCATTATTATCTAGGGAAATTGTCTTTAATAAGAATAAAAACGTTCTGGAAAGCAGAATTCAAAATATTACTATCGTATGTTTTATTATCGAAAAAAGAGTCGTTACTCCTATGATTGAAAAATATTGTTAGTAATGACGATAAATGTGATTATGTTAATACATAATACTATAACTATTTTGATGGTCTAGACTCCAAACATTTTAGCTGATCATATCTCGGGAGTTTTCCCAATTATCTATACACATTTGATCGGACATAAATGTCACTTTCAGTATTCGCAAGGATCAATCACCATGCATAATGTTATTTAAGGCACCGGTTACATCTTCATCTACCTCTCAATATCAAAGTAAAGGCCGGGTATTCAATTGCGTGTTATGTCTTATTATTATTGTTACCGGCCGGAGTTGGGTATGAATGGGATCGGAGCTAATTAATTGTATCATTTAATATGGAAACAGATTAGTCCAGAGATATATGGGGACAATCGTCCGAGGTTCTTTACATACTGGACAGTAAGTGATCTAATTTGATTTTAGCACAATTTATAATAAACTGATTGAAAAAATAAAAAATGTGATTGAAAGTGAAACAGGTAAGTGACATATATTTATTCTAAAAAGAAAAATGTGACATTTATTTTGGGACAACCCAAAAAGGAAAATGAAATAGATAAGATGGGATGAATGAAGTATTATACTATCGTATTAATTACATTTATATACACATTTTCGGGGAACACTTTTAGGTGTAATGTTTCTATTTTACCTATAGTACGTAGAATTTAATGAAACCAAAATATCGCATTTGAATTTCATAAAATTTGTTACTCCTAATAAATAAAATAGGAACAGTTTAAATTAGAGTTGGATTTCCATTAGTTTATTGAAAGACAAATAAAATGAAAATAGATGAAAGAATATTTAATAAAATGAAAACAAATAAATATCAAGTTTGAAAAACACTGTCATATTTAGAGTTCAATATTGTCAAAACATTACACTAATTACTCAAATTCAGAAAACAAAAGCATGACAATTCCATTTTAGAATACACAAACATTTTTACTCTTATTTAGAACAATTTTTCTATGTGATAGGTAGAGATTTGTGAATTGGAGTGCCAAATTTATGACCTTTATAAAAATCTATGGGTTTTTTACAAGAATATTACTAAAATAAAACTTATTTACATAAATATGACTATTCATTACTACAACATGATGTTGTAGTAACTTAAGTTCAAAACTTGAACATGAATTACTATGATTTCATTACTACTCCAGTAACTAGTCATATTTTTGTAAATCATCTTTATTTTGGGAGTTTTTTTATAAGAATATTACTAAAATAAAACTTATTTACATAAATATGACTATTCATTACTAAAACTTAATGCTGTGGTAACTTAAGTTCAAAACTTGAACATGGATTACTATAAGTTCATTACTACTCTAGTAATGAATCATATTAGTGTGAACCATATTTATTTTGGTCATATTTATGTAATTATTTTATTATTTTGGTCATATTCATGTAATTATTTCAAAATCTATTGAGTGAGTTCGATTGACGGAAAGTCTGAAAGTTTTGATGTTAACTAGTCAAAATAATTTGCTAAATTAAGAGCATCTTCAATGTTACAATGTGCACGGTGCACATGTGACATGATAGATATAGACATAAAATATTGATTTTATGATATTTCTCTCTCCTTCTTTCCACGGTCTTATGTGTTTTTGGTAAGTTTTTGTCTGCAATGTCAACTACAATGTCTATATCTAGACATTGTGTTTGACATTGTGAAGAAAAACTTACTAAAATGATGTAAGATCCTTCAGATAAGGAGAGAGATATTTTACTTATTGTATTTTAATTGGTTATTTCTCATGCCATGTATGCACCGTTAACGTTTTAGCATTCAAGATGCTTTAAACAAAACGAAAATCAAGCTGTTAGCTTTATACAAATGGTTACAACTTACAATTCTTCGCTTTTATAATTTTTCAATAACTAAAACCAAGAATTGTTAAACACTTAAAAGTGTGTAAAACATCTACAAAAGCCGCTTTATTTGGTGGTTCTTGTTTTAATTCTGGATTTGTTTGATGTGTGACCTCGTTAGTAGAACGTGTTTGTGTCATATCCTTTCAAAAAGCTCAAAAAGAACTTGCAATAAGATTTTTCACAAAGAAACTTATTGTCTTTCCAAATTTGACGAAACTAAAGTCGCTTGTGGATGAAAATGAATTTCAATGGTTTACTAACTATAGCAATATTGCTTACGTAGCTGATGTTTGAAATTGATTCTGCTTCTGCTTCTTTTTTAAAGCAGAAGCATAATCCAAACCGGTTTTCAGAAGCTGGTCTGCCCCAACTTCTAAAAAATCTGATTCTAGGAGTAAATTAGAGCACCAGAATCACTTCTTCACTTTCACCCAAGTACTCCAACTTCTACTCCAGCTCCCTGAAGGAGCAGAAATAGTTTTAAAAATCAGATCCAAACACCCCCCCGTAGTAGAGTTTGTACAGATAAAAATATTATTCTCGTGTGAAATGTTAATAAAGGGGAGTTTAAATTTGTATGACTTTAGAATATTACAAACACTAAGATGAATGAATTATGTGATCAAGACTTGGTTTTACTTTTTTTCACTTGTTGAAATGTTTATTGATCCCGTTTATTTCTTTAACAATCCCCTCTTGAATACTCAATCGTGAAGTATCTTCAATTCATTAATAAGTCTTACTATTACCCAAATATTGAACAAACGCCTTATACGGATTTGATAGTACCATCTAATCTCTTAACACAAATGAGTTTTCAGTTTAATCAATATAATTATTCCCGCTTAGATTATTAACTATGAGACATGTGCATCGATGATCTAAAATTATTACATGTAAAATAAACAATGGTTAATCACTGGTTCATTGATAATTTCTAGTAGTAATTAATGTTAAAACATCAACTAATCATCACTTAGCAATCCCCCAACATTAATATAGAGATTTAATTACAAAAGTTAAGAAGAGAAATTAAGAAATTAACAAACAACTTAACACTCAACAAGCTTCAAGATAACAAACAAGAAGTATATGAAAAAATACTAATCTAATCAACTTAGGTATGAGAACTAATGGATTCCAAATGGGAAGAAAATGGGTGCTTGTATAGGGGAAATGGTGATGTTGGGTCGGATATTCGACCGGGTATAGAAGATACCTGAGTGTGTATCCTTGGTAGTATCCCTGAAGGTTCGTGACATCATAAAATCGTTGTGTGTCTCAAAATAAAATCAATACTTGTACTTATTATACGTAGTATAACGTAGTAAAATTCCTATTCACAGGAAAAAGGCTACTTTTCTTTTATGAAACTAGTAATTAAAGGGGAGTTTAAGGTTGATTTGATTTAATAAGTAAAACACTAATTAAGATGAACGACTTATATGATTTTAATTAATGAGAAAAAAGACTTGGAGTTTCTACTTTCCACTTGTTGATATGTTTGTTGATCCCGGTTATATCTATAACTTATCTCCTCTCGAATACTCAATCGTGGAGTACTTAAAATTCATCGATGGTAGTTGTTAATAACGACCGTTCATTAATTACCCTTACTATTAGCCATGTATAGACCACCGCCACATACCGACTTGATAGTAGCAATTAATCTCTTAACTCTTTTGATAACCTCAACAAAACGGTATCGGTTTAACCAACACAATTAATCACTCTTGAAGCTATTAACCAAAACCATGCATTAATAACTCGAAGTTACTTACCTGTGAAACCATCAGTGATTAACCATCGGTTCATTCATCGTTTCTAGTAGTAATTAATATTGAGATTTAACTAATTGTCATTTAGCAACACACCCCAATGCCAAATGTAGAGATAAAATAAGGGAAGAATTAATATTCAAGAGAAGAAGTAAGAAAATAACTCACAACTTTAACATTCAACAAGATTCAAGAGCAAAACCAAGAAATGGAAGTTTAACTCCTCATTTGGAGACTAAATAATGCTAGGAAAATATAAAGAAAATAGTATTCTAAGTTGAGCTTAAGTATATAGAAGAAGAGATGAATAAATGTGAAGGAAAAGTGTGTCATTTTTAGGTGCTTTCAACACCGTGTTCTGGATACCAGACTGGGTATAGGTACATACCCGACTGGGTATCGGTCAAAATCAAATATTTCCCACCGCCTTTGTGTTTTTCAGCACATCTGTTTGTTCAGGTGAACTCATACCCGACCAGGTATAGGTTCATACCTGATCGGGTATTAGTGTAATTTCACAACAGTTTCATTTTTCTCTTTATACCCGACCGGGTAAAGAGTATACCAGGCTGAGTAAGTCACCAAATCACATTTCTTGCATGATTTCTTGCTCCCCCGGACATTCCTTTGATCTTGTAATATATTTTCCATACTTCTTTGTTGTACACTAACTTATTTAAGCTCAAGATCTCCTAAAACAAATAAATTACGATAAACTAGAAAAATAAAAAAGGTTGCACCGTAAATGTGCAATTACCACAACAATACATTGTAAAAACTACTACCTCTGTCCCACTAAAATTGGGACGAGAGAAAGTGGCACAACTATTAAGAAAAGTGAGTTTGTGTGGTTGATATTAAATTGATAAAGTAAGAGAAAAGTAAGAATGATTTAAAACCACACAATCTTTACCAAATTTGATATGAGACAATCTTAGTGGGACTTCCTGAAAAGGTAAAATTGGACAATCTTAGCGGGACGGGGGGGGGGGGGGGGGGGGGTTACTAATTAAAAGTAAAAACTTAAACACTAAAAAAATCAATGCAATCAGTTCGCAAATGCATCATTCCTGATCGGGCATGTGAATACACTCGATCGGGTATGCGGGTAAATCTGATGCGATATTTTATTGCATGCAACTTTATTTATTCTTCTTGATCTGATTTGATATCTAGGTTGTGTCAATACTCGATTGGGATTGCATATATCCGATCATATGTATGAACAAATCAAGATATCTTCATTTTATCTAGCTTGTTCACTTGCACCTTCCTTCAACTTTTGGGATTCCTCCATGATCATTTGTTTGTTCCTGACCAATTCGTGCTCAGGATACTCTACTCTAAACATATTACAATAAACTAGAAAAAATGGTTGCACCGCAAATGTGTAATTACTACAACAACACAGTAAAAACTAAAAAGTAAAAACATAAACAATGAAAAACAAACATGATAACTGAGCATCCGGAAACCATGACTCTTCCAAAGGAGAAAGTTAGTAGAGGAAAGTTTGATTGTTCCTGATAGCTTCCTGATCACACCGAAGTGCTTAGAGAGAAGGGAGAGCTAATATAGAGAGAGAGAGAGAGAGAGAGAGAAAGAAAGAACTTGTAATAAGTGATTTCCAACCCCATACAACTACCCCCAAGAGGGGTATTTATAGGGGCCAGGTGGGTTAAGCCCCCAGGTCTTGGGCCTGGGAGGCCCTATTACAATCATGGTCCGTTTACATGTGTCCTAACCTGCTAAGGTGCTGATGAAGAGACCTTTCGTTGTGCTTTTCCTCCAAGGTGTTAGTGCCGAGGGGATGAACCAGAGAGGAAATCTATCTCTTCAGCCTGGACTGGGCCATCTATCTAGGCTCTATGTTCTTCATGTCGGTTTTGACCGTCCGTATGTCCGGGAGTATGTGGGCCGTAATTCCAAGCTCATATTCTCCATCAATGCCTATAAGCACCATGGTCGCAAACTTGCAAGGGTCGGATTGGTACTCGAAGTTGCATAAAAAGGGTCAAATAAGTCCTTATTGTCCGGACGTCGCCATTTGAGGCGGTTCCCGTTGGAATTTTTTGATGAATTTTTTTGAGCATCTTATTCATTAAGCCTTGTTTACTCATACCAAATTTCAGCTAAAAATTCAATCGGGGAGGTATTCAAATGAATTCTTGAAGATAACTGCGCTTTTTACTGCACAATTATCTTCACGAATTCATTTGAATGCCTTCCCGGTTGAATTTTTAGATGAAATTTGGTATGAGTAAACTAGACTTAATGAATAAGACACTCAAAAATTTTCGTAAAAAAATTACACCGGGAACCACCCCAAATGGAGACGGCCGGACAGAGCCTCCTATATAAGGACTTATTTGACACTTTTTATGCAACTTTGAGTATCAATCTTGACCCTAACATCCTTGCAATTGGCACAATCAAGAAAGGCGTTAGAACATACTCAGGAGAACAAAATACTACTCCGTACAATATAATGTTTTTTTCAACTGACAAATGCTACGATATAATGTTACATAAGCGAAAACACTTGATGGAATACTAATTCTATATATTCGTTTTAATTTGTAATATGGTACGGTGTATCTGATGCCGAAATCATTGAAACTTCATTGAATAATGTAGCACAAGTAATTAATTGTGTTTTGCATATGTTATGCTCAGTCAATTAGTTGAACTATGCTTTTTAAGATTTTCAATAATGATTAGAGTTTGATAAGTGAAAAGATAATAAAAGAAAAAGATTGTTGTTGTGTCATAAAAATTGGTTCTTTGATGTAATCATATATTCATTTTTATGTAACAAATTGTTGTAGCTAATTAATGTATTGTTGTAGCTAATTAATGTTAAAAGTAAAGATGTTTTTCTTATAAACGACTAGCTTACAGTAACTTATGGAAAAATGTTCTCTAATTTCAAAACAGCTACAAAAACTACAAAAAGTATTGTAGAAACATGTAACTAAAAGATTTTAGAAATGTTTTTCAATTGAGCAAAGCAAGAAGACTATCATTTATGTTTATCAAACATAAACCATGTCATCTTTATATTTAGTCAATGAGATTTATTTATTAAACTTCTTTAAGTCTTTATATATTGTTACATTAATGAGAAAATTTCATAAATAAGACTAAAACGTAGAAAAGTACACAAACCAGATCAATATTGTTTTATTCTTAAATATGACTCATTGATTTATAATTGAGAATTTTTATATTTTCAAATATTACCCTTTCATAAGTACTTTTACATGTGAACTTTGTTCATGTGTTAAATCATATATTAAGATCAATTTCTTTAAATTTAATTTTGAGACATTGCACATTCCCAAAAACCATCACCTCCATATTTACAAAAACCATAACCGGAAAAGGATAAATGTTTAGTAAAATTGTAAAAATGTTTTATACAGTTATTTATATATAACGTGACCGGGAATAATAATTAAACTTGAAGATTAAATAAATATATCAAAATTCAAAATTGTTGATTTAATTAAAACTCTATAACTTTTATAATTTTAAATGTTCATATATTGAACTTATTTCGTTTCCCCACGTTATTTCATTGTATAATAATTTTAATGCCACAATTGAATTTACAGAGTGATGCATATAGAACAACAGGGTGCTATAACCTTTTGTGCTCAGGCTTTGTTCAAACTAACAATAGAATATCCATTGGAGCTGCCATCTCCCCAACGTCCTCTTATGGTGGACGTCAATATGATATCAGCATCTTAATTTGGAAGGTAAACATTACATCATTCGCATTACTTTAAATAAAAATATTTGTAAAAAGGAGTTTCATACAATTAAGGAGTAGATTAATGTCAAAAGTGTTTTAATTAGTAACTCATCTCTTCTTTGTCCACATTGGTCTCTAATACTCCGGTCAACAAACAATGTTGAATCTAAATGACTGTTCACCCAATATATGTTCTTTGTATGGATTGAAATTTCATGACTTGGTTTAGTTTGAACTGGTGTGGGATGATCCGATAGATATTTGGTCCCTGTTTATTTTATAACTATCATTTGTTTGATTCTAGTCTTGTGTGATCTATTCTAGTAAGGGCTAGTTTGAGATTGAACCTAGTCCAAATAAAAATATCATAAATTGCAAGAGGCCTGAGTGGTAAGACCCACATACGGACGTTAGGTAGTATTTCTAGGAAAGCTAAATAGTAGTCTCTCCATTCCAATTTAAGGTTCTTACTTCCCTTTTTAGACGTTCCAATTAAAGATTCTCATTTCTATTTTGAAAATAACTAACACTATTAAATGATAATTTGATTACCGTATATTAAAAACATTGATATTTGTAATATCACAATTATAATCAATGACACTATTATTTTACAAACTCATTAGGACTATTTATCAAAATATACTCCAATCATTGCTTAAGTAACAGTTTCATTCTCTTTGGCCAATTTCCTCCTAGACCCCTAAACCAATGTGACGTAATGCCTGAATACATAACGGTCTAATATATCCATATGGAGTACATCTCAACCATGAGATTCAATATTGAAATAACTAGGGAAAATTCCCGAAATAGGAGTAAAAAACGTTTGAGAATTCCAAAACAGAACTATCATGTTTTTATTTCTTAAATAAGAGTAATTAACTAATTACTGTCAAACAAGTTTGGAAAATATTGTCATTTTTAAAGTATATTACTGCCAAGCATATACAAATGGATAGACATGCATTGATACATGCACACAAACATATAGGGGTGGACAAAATGGTTTGGTTTAACCCAACCAAACCGAACCGAACCGAAAAGTGGTGGTTTGGTTTGGGTTTGTTAAGAATTTGCTCAAACCAAATGGTTTGGTTTGATCTGGTTTAAAACCGAAAAACCGTAAACCGAACACCGAACAACTTATACACACACACTTTGTATTTATCTTCACTCTTCATATTTAAGATATCAATAAACAATTTAGATATGAAAATTACATATTTAACATAATATCATTTTAACTTTTACACATTTCATACATTCATTATGGCAAAGTTAGCTAATACTACATATTTGTATTTGTTAAGTTTGGCTATAACAATATCAGATTGCATTTATACTGTTTACATGATTTATTTGAATAAATTTGTGAACACTACAACATTTGTACCACTGACTCCCTTAGTTTTTTTAAAATATTTTATGTGATACTCTGTATTATAATGCTAATAAACTATAATCTTATTTTTTGTGAGTAGTGAATCTTTTTCTAGTGATCGAAAAGATATTAGAAGTTTTAATTCATAATATTTAATTATTTCTTTTTCTATCGTTTATTTCCTTTTACATTTTATTTAATAATCAATAAAGGAAGATGAGACGGATTATTACTTTCATTTCTAATTCTAAAATATAAGAACTTGGTCAAATAAAATTATAATAAACATAAGAAAACGAATCAAATTGAACTAAATCAAACCTAATACTTTTCACTTTGGTAAACCGAACATCAAACCGAACCGAACCAAAACCGAACCGAAACCAAACCGAAACACAAATGGTTTTACTTTGGCACAAATTCTCCCAACCCGATAAACCGAAACCGAACCAAAACCGAAGAAAACCGAACCGTAAACCGGTTTGCCCACCCCTACACACATGTATATGGTAGCTAGGTATCAAATAAAAAGGGTTTTAATGAGTAAAATGTGAAATATTAACTTTTGTAGCGCTACAATGCACTTCTCTGTTCATGCGGTGCATTTTTCACATTTGTAAACACTTCACCTTTTTATTCAATTGTCACCACATATTATTTACATCGTAAAAGTTAGTAGCTTTACCATATATATGTGTAATATAGGTGACTATAAATGTATTTGGTCACACTTTTCACGTGCTAAGAACATTTTTTTATTTGATCCACACTCTGTGCATATATGGATATACATATGTATATGTTTATATACGAAAAAATCATGTCGGGTAGTTCCGACAGAAAATACCGTCCGAACTTGCCCATTAGAAGGCCTATTCGGTGAATTTTTTGATGAAATGTTTTTAGCATGTTATTCAGTTTATGATCACCAAATTTCAGTGTATTTTGGCGCAGTGGTTTTATGTAGATGAGAATTGTTATGTATGTTTATGTTGAAGTTTGATGAATAGGAAGTATCCAACAATTTGGTGTACAGGATCCGAAGCGTGGGGATTGGTGGCTACAATTTGGATCAAGGATATTAGTAGGGTATTGGCCTTCGATGTTGTTTACACATCTCAAGGGCGGTGGAAGCATGATACAATTCGGAGGAGAAGTTGTGAACCGAATGGCCGCCGGCCTTCACACAGCAACACAAATGGGGAGCGGACACTTCTCGGGAGAGGGGTTCGGAAAAGCTTCTTACTTTCGAAACTTGCAAGTGGTGGATTGGGATAACTCTCTCGTTCCCTTGTCTAATCTTAAAGTTACCGCCGACCATCCCAATTGCTATGATATACGAGGAGGTTCTAATCATGCTTGGGGGAATTACTTCTTTTATGGGGGCCCCGGAAGAAATTCTAGGTGTTCCTAGCTCAAAGTTAGTTAAAGCTAACGTTTTTTCAAGGCCGGCCATTTGATTTTAGCTAGGATGTGTTTTTCTCTCTCGATCGGTTTTCTCACACAACAAAATATATAGCTAGCAAGTGATCACATAAGGCACGGTGAGCCCAAAAAGTGCAAATATATGAGGGGAACTTTAATTTTACCAATTTTAATTTGTGAAGTCATAAATAGATGGCTTACCTATGAGTAATTACAAGTAACATTTGGCATTCTGACCACGACTAATTTTTTCTATACCGGTGGCGTCACCGGACATCCTACTATGCAAAGGTGAAGGGTGATGATGTTCAAAATGCTTATGTGAGCCCATCATGTGGATGGCTCCTATTTTTTGAAGACAGGACGACTCCATTATCTTGATGTATATATGTTTTTCTCTATTTCAATATTACAAAGTATAATTGAAGTGCGATTATCTTGTACTCTTAGCCTAATAATGGTTGAAAAATCTGCGCAGGGGCTGGGAAGGTTTGGGGACTTCATGAGGGGCTGGGCAAGGGTTGGGACTTGGGAGACTATAACCTGGGTGCGGGATGAAGACTAGGTGGTGAGGGGTAGTGTTGGGATGGTGGTGACCCGCGGTGGTAGCCGGCAGGTCATTGTGCTCAGAGATTCACAACTGTCGTTTTGTTGCCAGAAAATTTTCCGACTGAGGTGTCACTGTGCGGAGTCACTTTGGCCGGTGGACAGTCACTGTGGCGGCGGGTCACTGTGACGGCGAAGTCATTGTGAATAGTAATGTTAGGTCACATTTCAGGAAATTTGAAAAACATGTCACATTTTTGTCTTTTGTTTTTTCTAGTAATATCCAGGCCAAAAGGCCTTCCATTTATCCATCAGCAAGCTCCCGGGACGCGAGGCCCAGTAGGCAGCCCAATGCCGATAAAAAGGCCAAACACTAGGGTTTCACCCGGGTCAGCCCACCATTTCGAACCAACATCTCAATCCATTCCAGCGTCGCACATGAAGGCGACAAACCAGAAATCAAACTGCTACAGTAACTGCTGCATAGTCCCAAGCAGACAGAAGTGACTTGTCCCAGTTAACAACTAACGCGTGATGTCGGCGGAGACCAGTCCGGTCATCTCTTCCGTCGAAGCCCCTGCAGGATATCTGCCGCCAAAATCTCCCCGTCAGGGCCGTTTTTTAGCAAGTTGAATAGGTTATTTGGAACATGGCCTAACAAATTGGGGTCCCAAATTTTTATTAATATTAGTATTACAATATAGTTATATTATACTCCCCCATTCTTCTTTAAATGCAACATTAGACTTTTCCCACTATTCACATGTTCTACTTTGACTCTATTTTGTTTATTAATGTATTATAAATTAAATTTATAAAAAATATTTGTAAATTCATCTCATTCTAAATTTTCAAAATCTGATTTTATAAGTTTTTTTAACTAATAAGGAAATTAATGATCAAACCTGCGCGTTGGCAAACGTGAAAAGTCGATCGTTGCATTTTAAAAAGAACGGATGAAGTATAATATTTATATGTAGTTATTTTAAATCATGTTTTTTCCTATCGAACACTTGAACACGAATAATTTTGTTGAACTATGTAAATTATGTGAGTTGTTATTATATGTGATTTTGTTTTTATTCATATATGGGGCCTCAATTTTTCATTTAAAACGGGTGCTTCCAAATTCATTAAGCGACCCGGTCTCCAATAACACAATTTTGGCTTAGACGTGATCATCTGACGAAACCCCGGCAATCAAAATCCCAAACACATTAACCGCCGACATCCTAGACAACCTATAAACTCCGGCAAGCCAATATAAGCAGCTTGGGCAGTCAAAGAACATTCTGAGCACCTGGAGATCCTCTCCATAACCAATCCAGACCCAACATTCAGCCCATAGCTTTCGCCTTGGACGAGTGTCGGAAGTATGAAGTGGGACGGCGGCCGGATGTTGGAGCTCCCTATAACAGTCCGGCCCTTGGTAAAATCAGCTCCGTCTCACCATGGTTACTCACCTGTGGGTATACTTAGCTTAGCTTGGACCCAAGCCCCATTTTAGGCTTTCTCCATGGCTAGCTTGTGGAGGTTACACTAATTCTTCGAGTTCGTATACCGTACAACCGGTTGTACGATGGTACACTATACAGTCGATGAGATTTTCGTAATTTAAGTGAAATTGTCCAACGTAGGACCAAAACTCAAGCTTTTTTCCCAAAACAGCACCACATGTATGTTTTTCTCTAAATAAGACTAACATTACCTTTTTTACCCACAATTCTATTTGATTAATTATTTGATCTAAATAATTTCCTCCGTAGTTTCCTTGCAAAACCAAGACAATCCGTCGGTGGCGGTAGCACTGCGGCAGCGGTCGGCGGCATATTCAGGTGGCGGCGATGAACTCCGGAAATTAATTAACCCAATCAACCCCCCCCCCCCCCCCCCGTTCTGTTGCACCAAGGTAGTCCGTTGGTAGCAAGGACAGTCTGACGGCGGCGGTAGAAATCTGGCAGGCTGCCGGGAAAAAATCTTTTCCGGTAGAGAATTCCTGGTTGCAAACTCAACCAAAACTAAGAACTAATCTTTTCCATTTTATGAGAGACATGCGAAGCCCAGAAACAAGGGATGCGAGAGATGAAAATAAAGCGCAAAAGAACATGGAGAACGAATGGAAAGTTTTACGTGAATCCCTTATCACGGAGGGAGTGTAGCCTCGAAGATGAAAGAACCAAAAATATAGTAAGAACACAAGAATAGCAGTATAAGCAAGACTGGCGATTTAAGTCCATGGAAATCCAAGGAATGCTGGTGAGATTGTTGTTGAATATAATTGAGTTACTCTATTTGGTATCTCAATCCATCAAAATACATATTTCGAGATACATCGAAATGCATAATTAGTGAAATCCATGGAATGTTTGGGGATACTTAGATTCTAATAGAGTCTATTAGAATCCAAATCGAGAACACCCATATTTTGAAGAAATCCTAAATTCTATTAAAATCCATATAGGGATCCCCCGCCCCTTAATTTCTAAGTATTACGTACCTATTCCTTAATCTATCTATATATAAAAAGAAGTGGAATTCTTGGCCGCTTTCCCGCTCAAAAACATCTTTATCAAATACAGGCAAAAGTCCATCACGTCATACAATTATCCGTAGGATAAAGTCCCTCTTCTCCATTGTGTGAGCCAGCCGTCAGAGTCATTAAATGTCCAAGCCTGCCCATAATTCACTCCCACCACCGATGACGGTACAACAGCATCGGCAAAAAACAATCAGTGGGCAAGGACTTCACCGTTGGGTCTGTTGCCGCCGCCGGCAACTTTAACAAATTCGTAGTAACTACTAACAGCTACCTCAACAATCAAGAATCAAGCAAGACAAATTCACTGAAACTTACACCAGCTCCACCGCCGGCGTAAGCCACTTGAAATACAATGGTAAAGGCACTGGCGCAAACTGTGTTCAAGAGCAAGGGATGAGTGACACGAGACCTTAGAAAATGAGATATACTACTACGATGTCAAAGATTTCATGGAGAAGCCTAGCTTTTTGAAAATGTTGCTGGTAGTTTAAGAATCCAGTTCAAGAACAACAACATCATGGCATGGAGAACAACTTCCGGGATGTTGAGAAGTTCCTTGTTCCTAGATGAAGAGGAAATGCCTTGAGATCTACTACGTTTTGAGTAATAAAGTCTTTTCCTGTTCTCAGATATGAAAAATGAAACTCTCAAAAAGAAAATGAAAATCTGAAAGATGTGAAATTTCCGAGAGATCTTGGTGCACCAGATCTTCTTTAGGGGATATTGAATTGTTATTATACGGAGTATATATTAATATACTACCTATATTGGATAAACTAAACGGAGCTTTGTTCTGTGTTCAGGCAGCTGCTTTGTTCGGAAGTATTAGGTTTAGGATTTATGTATCTAAATAAATATGTCAAAAATTTATTAAAATTTTACAACATTCCACATATAAATACGGAGTAGTTTCCAGTTTAATTCAGACCCAAGTTTATAAAAGTGAGAATAAAATAAAAATATATGATTGTGGTTGAGTATAAAAAATGTAATCAAAGTTCACACAAAATGCTAGGGAGAGTATTAAAAATGCTAGGGAGTATGATATTTTCATAAGTCAATCGAAAATTTTCATCAGTTACAATACGGACTAATAATGTACGCTATGTGGATGGCAAAATTTTTTCTCACTTCATTCATTACTCTTTATTTGAATTTTGAACTGAACATGTATTAGGTCGAAACTCGAAACTCAAAAGAAATGTTAGAATTGGGGTGAACATTTTTTTGTCAATCATGTGCATTGATCAGTATTATATATGGAATAGTTTATAATATGTTTGGATTTTTTTTACCCCGAGGATCGGGGATAGGGTCTGGGTAAATTAGGATCAAACTCACTCCATTGAATATTGAACTCGAGACCTTTCATAAAGAAGAGTGGGTCGGTCACCTGCGGAGCTGGACCGCTTCCTCTTAAAATATGTTTCAATATTGTATTAATTTATATATATAATCAATATCGAAAAACTATATGTGATTCTATTCATATTTTCAAGATTCTTGCCGTACGTAGATTTTATGACATTATTTAAGGAGGAAAACAGTAGGGGAAATGAATAGTATACAAAAAGTAAGATAGAATCCGTAAAAATATGAAAATGAAAATAAAAGGTAGAAAAAATATGGGTGATTTGGTAAGTTTTAAAGAAAAACACAATTACCAAATTATAAAAAAAAACTTACAGAAAAAAGACGGCAATCTTTTAAATATATTCCGAAAAGAAAACGGTAACAAACTTTAAATTACTATGAAAGTTGTTACGAAATTAAGAAGAAAAGTTTTAATTCACGAAAGAATTTTCCTACGAATGTTTTGACTTGGATTGTTTTCAGTCTCAAATCAATGGGAGGACCATTCGTGAAACTAGACCAGATCAGACCAGACCAGATCAGTTCAGACCAGACCAAATCAGACCAGACTTTGATAGTTATATAAATACAAAATGACCAAACATTACCAGATCTAACAGTTCAGACTAGATCAGATCAGACCAACAAATTTCAGTCCAACTAAAAACATCCTACATCTCCAATTAGAATCATGGTCAATGTTTTTTTGTTTGCTTTCCTTTTATGATTTCTCTCTCAAATTTAAGATTTCTTTATATATTACTTCATATTATAAGCTAATATTATTAACAAATAGTACGACATAAATTTTATTTAATTTTGTTCCGTGCATCGCACGGGTGAGAATCTAGTATTTTGTAAACAAAGTATGTATGAGAGTCTTAGACCTCAATATGATCTATCCAACGAGCTATAAATCGCTTAGAACAGATCAAAACACAACA